TATATATATATATATAATTACATTTACTGAATAATTTTTTTTAAATTACCTCCATTTTGTGAGCAATTACTAGCCAAACAATGGGTAGCTAAGGTATTACTATAGGTAATCTAAGGGATTTAGGTAAAGAAAGAAGAGTTAAAAGAAAGGAAGAAGATTAAGTGTGTTTGGATTTGTTTTTATTGTCTCTTGGGCTTGAATGATAGGAAGTCTTCGAGGTAAGATATCAATTGAGTATTTTTTGTATAAATTGAGTTTTAACCTAATAATTATATATAATTTAACTAATTTTTTCAAGATGAGCATAGTGAAACAATTCATCGTTAGACTAACCTAATACTTGAAGAGATGTATAATTACTAAAATAAGGAGCAAACCATCCATAAGTCTAATATTGTCAATTACTTAGAAGTAAAAACTATCTACTACGTATTTGCAATTAGAATTTTATTCATATTCAACATATTTTGAATTTGACAACAATGTTTAAATCATATGGAAATAAAAATTTGTTCAATATGACTTCATAATATTTTTATAAGAAAATACATAATAAATAAAAAATGTGAAATATGCAAGATGCAATGTATTTGTGATGCATGTTAGAACAGTTGATCGTTAAAACAAAAATTGATGCTAAGAAAAATACGAGTAAAAAATCACCATTACAGCTAAAGATGGATCATGAAAATGTCAAGTTATTTTATGATAAGCAAGTAATAATGATGATGACCTACATAAGGGAAAGACAAATTTTTAACAAGATAAGCCTTAATAAGCAAAATAAATGAATTCTCGACTCTTGATGTTGAAGTTAGACTGATCTAGATGGTATTGAGAAGTAGTTGATAATTACAATATTGTAGTGACCATACTTCATCAATAGCTATTATGAACTTGCTACTGCCGAGTGGCTTTTGATGATTATGATAGTATTCTAGCAAAATTTTATCCAAGATTATTAAAGCCGACAGGCTCGGTGATGAATTAATGAATTAAATAGGTTAAAGCCTATACAAATATCATATGTTATTTTAAGATAAATAATACTGAGAATATGATGAAAATTGGAAATTTAAACAAACTTATATATGAAATAATCTAGTATGGTGCATTTAAGAATTTGATTATGAACAGTTGTAAATATTTCTAGAAATTTATTATACTTAATACATATCATAATATTTTCTTTACCTAAGCACTTAAAATATATTTATTTAATATTATTATTGCACTAAACTAATTAAAACTATAAATATAAATACTCATGTTAATCCTAAATTATCATGTATGTTATTTACTTTTTATATATTTGAAGTTAATTTTAGTATAATTTATTTCATTGAGGATGGAGCTTACCACGTTATAACTATAATCTTCAGGGAAGTGAAAGAAGTAATTTGATTAGTAGTTAGCTAAATTGTTTATCTATATATAATACTTTTGATTGCACATTTTTTAGTGTTTATAGAAGACAGTTGTGTATGATGTGAATAAGTGTTTTTGGTAAGTAAGCCTTTGTAGATAAGAGTTTCTTTTAGAAGCTTTATATTTTATTTGATAATTATGCTATACATGCTTCCATATTATTATCTGTTAATAAGTATTAAAAGAGTTGGAAGGTAAGTGTATGTTTATAGATAATTTAGAGGAACTTTTTTTTGCCCACTTAATCTAGATGAGTACAAGTTAGGATGTGTGTTGGTGGAAGTCTTCTGTTAAGCATTTGGTCGATTAAAAAGGGAGCCAATTAGAATGGGATACATTGTACTTAATGTACTCAACATAAAAGTAGTATTATAAAATGCCAGGAAAAGAGTTTAATTATTAAGAAAGAAAATACAGTAGATACAAAATGTTTCACTCATATAGATCTATGAGGCTTCACTCACCCATTAAATTAACTCAAGTTCTTATGGCATTTGGTTAATCACTCACCAAGCTAAGATACATCTAAATCATTCATTCGGGACATTGATACTATCTCAAAATCCCTTCATAGGCCTTATAGTTATAAACATAAAATTGATGGAGGTGACAGAGATTGGAATAAATAAGGGTGGGTGCATGGGGGAGGGTAGGTTTAACTAGACGTTACATTAACAATCAAGCACTACCATAAATGACTGTCATCATTCTCACATATGAAACCAGCACCAAGTCTCATGTTTAGTGAACCACTTCCCAATTATGGTAGATTGACGCTTGTCATATGTCATTGTTTTAGATGAGACATTGAGAAAATCATGCTAATAGTGATTTGGTTTGGCATAATGAATTGATAAGATACAGGTAAAGATTTACTTCTAACAGAAAGATATATATGATAATAAGGGATTCACTCAGTCAATACTATGTGACCCAAGTATCATTATGCTTGGAGAATCACTCAAGCAAGCAAGAAAAAGCTAGGCCTTTCATAGCCATAAACATGAAACTAAAGGTCTTGATTATGGATAAATGTAGGCTATGAAATAGTCGAGATAGTCAAGAGCTATCATATACGGTCATTTCATTACAAATTGATCAAAGCAAACAATCCTGATATGATAAATTGTATAGTTTTGGGCACACCTCTTTCATGGTCAATGTAAAGTAGAAATGGTACTCTCTTTTATAATTTTTGTTTTTCTAAGGAAACCAATCTTGCCTGCAATTAAAAACTAGTTCAAACCTTTCCGGATAAAAAATTTGCAACCAAGTTATTTCTTAAAATATGACAAAACATCTGCATAGTATAATAACTTAAGGAAGACATTGTCCACAAAAAAATAAACAAAGAAAAAAACAAGCTACCTGCTTAAACCATCCAGAATTTAGAACAAAAAGAAAAGTAACCTACATGCATATTTTTAAGTCATTATTTCAATTTCCATGGTTTGGTCACATTAAACCACCACCATCCAGCTATAAGACTAGATTTTTGGATTAACCTTATGAAAAGCAGAGCTAGACCTAAAAAGATTTGGGCATACCATAAAAAAATGATCTTAATCGATTAGAAAAACAGTTGGTCTGCTTAAACCATTCAGAATTAATAAACAAAAGAAAAACGACCTACTTGCATATTTTAAAATCATTATTTCAATTTTTACTTTAAGAAATCCATTTTCTATATTTAGCAATAACAATACCTAAGCTATGAATTGCATAGTTAAGGAAAGAGCAAGTATTAGTGTTGGATTCAAATCTGTTTGGTAGATCGTGCCCAAGGATTAGGGTGTTGGACAGAGGAGAGAGAGAGAGAGGAAGAGGAAGACTTGCACCGTAAAGGAGAATCGTGGTGCTCCAGGGCTCGTGGACCCATTTTATTCCACAAAACATAGATGTTACAAGTGGAAGGAGGCAAAAAGGGTCCTTTAATATGAAAGGGCCCTCGTATTTATAGATGACAGAAGGGTCAAAGAATAAATTATAATATTAGTCTTGCTATAAAAATGGTAGTATAGGATATTTTAGTCTTTTATATTGTTGCGTTCTACTAAAAGTTCCTCTGTCTGAGTCCTCAGCTGGGGTAAATGTCCTCCATCTGAGTCCTCCACCTGGGAGAAAAAGTCTTTCTCAGTCCTCCAATTAAGCAAAAAAGTACTTCGTCTGAGTCCTCCATCATGGGCAAAAGTCATTCGTCTGAGTCTTCCACCTAGAAGAGAAAGGTCTTTCGTCTGAGTCTTCCGTCGAGGAGTTGGGGGGGATGTCCTTCGTTTGAGACCTTCATTGGAGGGAATAGTCCTTCATCTGAGTCTTCTGTTGAGGGGAAAAAGACCTCCGTCAGAAGAAAAATCCTCCATTGGAGAAAAGGACGGTCAAGGGTAGCCAATTTAATGAATACATACAATAAATTATCTCGAAATCTGTGCAGACCATTTTTTAGTATGCATATTAAGTTTCTTAACTTTTTTGCTCATTGATGGCAACAACTGTGATAAAAATAAGAAAATTTATAAATCAAACATATTTTGAACGCATAATTTGTTAACGGTATTCCTTGTTAGGAGTTTTTCACGCTTAGTCCTGATGTCTTTGTCATTATCTACTGGATTTGTTATTCTGGTGTTTCTCTGTTGGAGGAATTGTTGGAGGAGAAGTTTTAAGATGATGGAAAAGTCGGTCATCAGAGAAAAAGTTCTCCATGGAAAAAAAGCGCTCCGTTGGAGGAAAAGTCGGTTGTCGGAGATAAAGTTCTCCGAAGGAGGAAAAGTCGGTTGTCGGAGGTAAGGTTCTCCATCAAAAGAAAAATCCTCCGTTGGAGGAGAATTCGGTAGAAGGTAGTCAATTAAACGGGAGCAAACTGTAGGTGTGATTCTGATGACGGTTCGAGTATAGTGACAGTTTCAGTCCATACATGAAGCCTCAAAGTTTTTCTTTTCTTGGAGGCGAGGTTGCAATAAAAATTGAAAAATCATAGGTACTGAAAAGATATTCTTTCCTTAGCCCAAGCTTTACTTAAATTTCTAACAGCTCTTTCATTGGCCTTTGATGAGTAGATGTTTTGAAAAGATATTTGTTTTAAGATAACTTAAGCATGACGTTTATTCAACTCAAATTCCACCCATCGTAGAGCTTTATTGTTGTCGGGTACTAGATTTTCTACACCCGTCGCGGATCTTATCCCTGTCGGGTGATAGATTTTTTTCTTACACCCCTCGCGGAACTTGTCGTTGTGGGGTGTTAGATTTTTTAAAACCCTCGCAAAGTTTGTCGTTGTCACGTATTAAAACTTTTTTTTGCACCCATTGTGAAGTTTGTCGCTGCTGGGTGATTTACTTTTGTACACACCTCGCGAATATTGTCGTTGTCGGGTGTTAGATTTTGTTTGCACTCATCACGAAGCTTATCGCTGTCGGGTGATAAATTTATTTGCACCCCTCGTGGAGCTTGTCGCTGCCGAGTGTTAGATTTTTTTTCACACCTTGCGGAGCTTGTCATTACCGAGTGATAGATTTTTTTTCACTCACCAAGGAGCTTGTCGATGCAGCATTATAGAAAATTTTAAACCAATCAAGGAGCTTGTCGATGTTGGGTGATAGATTTTTTTTGGCTCCCATCGAAGAGTTCGTTGTTGTCGGGTGATAGATTTTTTACACGCCTCACAGAGCTTGTCACTGCAGCGTGTTAGATTTTTTTTTGCACCACTTGTGGAGCTTGTCTCTGCCGAGTAAGGAATCATCTCTAAGCCCTTTTTACCGATCGAATGCTTGTGAAGTCGTTGTCGGTTGTTTGTTGCCCGGGTTCGATTTTCTCAAGTATTGAGTCATCACCAAAAAATTTAAACTTCTTGATCTCAACAAGTTTTAATCTTTGCTGGTTGTGAAGTGGCCGGCCAGAGAAGCAAGGTGGTCAGATGGCGAATCCGACGGACGGCGAGCCAATAGGCTGACAAATAAAACAATAAAACTTATGATTAGATAGACAAAGAATATGGTGGTATGCACTCAAAAAAAACAATTTATATTTGTATATTTATGAATACATAACAATTAAGTAGCAAGTAAATCATATCGGATTTCTATTAACGTTTGCCAGACCATCGGTTTAGACAAAATAAAGCCCCAAATTCAGAGAAAATTTTACATCCGGAGTCCGGACGCAGCCCTGCCTGCGGACTTCCAATAATATGTTGTCATGTGGAGGTTATTGTGGAGGTTATTGTGGGGATTATTGTGGCATTATTGGAGTTAATTTTGCAAGAGGTTATTGCAGGGGATTATTGTGGCCTTATTGAAGTTAATGCCCCAATAACCATCTCAATTAATAACCTCCGCGGTTCCACTACAATAACTTTCGCAGTTTCACTTTATTATTTTTTTAGGTGGGCCCGATATAATACATATGGCAGAATATTACTGTAGTCCGCACGTAGAACTGCGTCCGCACTCTGGATGTAATATTTTCTCCAAATTCATGTGTCTCGTACAGGTGCTTCTCGCCAGCAAAGAAGAGTTGATAAGTTATCTCTCTCCACGGTTTTGGTTAGAAGAGAAGCTACTAAGTTGTAGGCTTCCCCGTGGCTGTCGGCTGGCTGAAAGCAGTCGGACTAGAGAGATCCGGCTCGTGACAGAAGGAATGGTTGGAGGCCGGTCTGCAAAAATTGATTGCGTGGGGAGATATCTGGCTCACGTCGTATAACATTGGGGGCCGGCCTTTTTTTTTTTTTTTTTTTTGACATCTGCTGTACATTCCAAATTCTTCAAAGAAATTTGAGGATTTTGGAGGGGCCACATGTCCACTTCCTTTGTTACCTTCAGAAATGGTTTCAGCGGCTGGCTTGCTTTCAACATAGTCGATCCAAGAGGACAAGGATGATCCATTGACTATACTGCAGGTTCAAACATTTCAGGCCTTTGCATACAAACTCTTTTTAGTGACTTTTTTAACGCCAAAGCCACCGCAATTGCTTCCAACTTGTTTTATCGCTAATTGGCTTTTTAACAAAATTGCTCACCGGTGAATTATTTGCTTTAGGTGGATGAGCAGTCTCTAGATCTCCAATGATTGTTCACTGAATTTTGTTCCAACATATGGGCAACCTTAAGATCTTCAAGACCATTAGCAGTCTCTTGTAATGATGCTTCCGTAACTGATAAAGAAGGTAACATGGTATCTACTATCATGCTTTTAGCAACTTCTTTAGACAACATTTGCCTATATATTTCAGCAGCTCTTGAAGCATACTTTGTCTCAATTTTACCACCAGCTGTCCAACCATGTTGCTTAAAGAAAACAAGTGCACAATTGTTGCCGCCGAAAGCCATCATTCTAAGTTGCGCAGGATTCCATGAATCCAAATTAGTTGACATCGAAAAATAATGGGCGCCGGCCGATGGAAATAAAGGCCAGTCGACCGAGGGGTGGTCGGCCGCTAAGTGACGGTCAATCGGCGAGGTGGTAGACCGTCGTTCGGTGGGCCGGTGAGGCTGCCGTGTGGTGAAAACATCCATGTGATGGTGACAGGATACGATCGGTAAAACCTTCACGCTTCAGCGACTGGCTCATCATTTATTTGCCAAAACTACCTCCCTGTTCTACCACTTGTTCATGGTTCAAGATGTGTACTTGTTGCTCAGAGGAGTGATTCTGAGCAATGGGCCTTTGCGCGACAGAGAAATGCGAAATGCCTTTGAGAACGTGTCGGGCATAGATATGCTGCATGGGATGACGCGCGGCAGATAAGGATGACTGAGGGCGGCTGGCGAAGTGGCGGCCAAATGAGGTGAGACAGCAGCTGCGGGAGAAAGGCCGGTCGGTTGGGCGGCCGGTGTAGGAGAACTTTGCTCGGTAGAAAAAACCGACCAGGAGACAGCCGGTATAGGGGAATTTAATGCGCGATAGAATGAAAAATTGCAGGAGGGCGGCTCCCGTGCGAAGGAGGCACCCGAATTGACGTCGATCGGTGGGCAAAATGTTCGCTGTTTTGATTGAAGAAATTGAAGCGGACCTGCTCCAGCTCGTCTCTCCGCTGGACATCTTTGCCAATGGGAGTATTGCTCTCGGGTCGGAGGTTGTGTGTTTCAGAATTGAAGATCGTTTTGGTGGGGTCGATAGGTTGGGATTTGCATACGGGAATAGCGTTGGAGATCTTTAGATATGAGAACAGAGAGTATGCCTGGATATGTGGGAGGATAACTAATTGATGTGCAAAATCGCCGGCAGTGTTCTTGATTGTTTTTCTCAAATGACATGATTTGCGCTCATGTTGGATTCAAATAAGTCCGGTGATCGTGCCCAAAAAGAATGAGAGAGAGACAGGAAGTGGAACACTTTCTCCCTAAGGGTAAATCGGGTTGTTCCGAAGCTCATGGACCATTTTATTTCACAGAACATAAATGTTATAAGTGGAAGGAATCAAATGGGTTCTTTTACCTGAAAGGACCCTCCTATTTATAGAGGACGGGAGGACGAAAAATTAAATTATAATATTACTTCACATTTAAAAGAATAGTGCATAATATTTCAATTTTTTGTATTGTTTTGTTCTGCTAGAAAGTCCTCCGTCTGAGTCCTCCGCTTGGGAGAAAACTCCTTCGTTGTCTGAGTCCTTCGTAGAGGGAAAAATCCTTTGTTTGAGTCTTCCGTCTAGAAAATAGTTTGAGTCTTCCGTCTGGAAAATAAGTCCTCTATTGGAAGAAAAATTATCCGTTGGAGGAAAAGTTGGCTAAGAGACTTTAAAACCTCATAATTGTAGCATCAATATTATCTCTAGACAAAAATTTTCCAATGTAAAATAAAGTCCGGATCCCATTGTAGGATTATAAAGCCTCATTAAACATGCAAATAACATAAGTTCACCCTCATCGAGCAATTGGATCAAAATTATCTAAAAAAAAGATTTCTATTTTGTGAAAGAACAATGCCAAATAAAGTATTATGAGTTTTTCAATACAACTATGGTTTTAAATCAGAAAGATGAACGTCAAATATGATATTTAGACTTACATTGACAATTTCAGGCTTATATTCAATTACGGCTTGTCCTTGAAGTGGCGAAACCATGATGTTTTCAACGCCTTCCTTGGCTCCCAGTACTGATTCTATTGAAACTGCACATGAAGCACAAGACATGCCCCCAATTTTCAGCACGATCTTTCTGGTTTTGAAACCATCAATCTGAGCAGACTGAGCTATATTAATAGTCGCGTTCTCTGAAGGTTGCAGGAGTGGCTCTATGAGACTACCTTTTCCACTTAAATCCATTTCTTCTCTCAATCTTTTCAAGCAAAAAGGATGAAATGAAAAAATAAGTAATCGAATAAAAATTTAATCCAAAAAGCCAAGCAGACCCTAAACAGAGAAAAAAAATTAATGGCATACAAAGATAAAAGACCATATTTGAAAAAAAAAAAACCATATATTTTCAAAAACAGTAACGCAAAAGGCATTTTAGTTCTGGATTGAAACATTAATCAGACCAATAGGAAGAGATTTATATCGAATAGAATGTAATTTTCAAGGATGCTCTAATTCAGTTGCAATTTTTACATAGCAGATGACCATATGCCCTGTAGCAAAAAAACTATCAACAAAAATAAGAAGAAATTCTTATGGCAAGCAAAGGTAAACTTTAGAATCTGCGATCCGACAGCTGCCGCAAATCCCAAAGGAGCAAACAAAATAAGAAGGCCGGCTCAAAACTCACCCGAGTCCTGATCCTCGAACTTACCAATACTTGGAACTTCTACTGTCGGCTGTGATTCGAAATCTGAAATACGACTAGGGTTTTCTGACCAATTATGAAGTACAGTAGCTAGGTTTGGCACCATAAGCTGGAGTTCAAAAAGAAGAAAAGTTGGGAGAAAGAAGAGGACGATGATGAGGACACGAATCACACGATAGCCTTTGTTTGTTCGTGGTCGCACCAATAAGCCGTTCTTTTTTAAGTGCGCGCCTTCTTTTCTTTTTCTTATCTTTTATAACTTTTTTTAAATTTGAAAGTCCAACGTCTCCTGCACGGACCAAGCCCTGAATCTATGCGGGAATCATTGCCTGCCGTTCGATGAGCGACGAACGTTTCGATGAGGACGCTGCTATGCGAGTAATCGCACGTCTGCCGTGGGTTATCGACCGAGTTCCGGATTGAAACAAAACGAAATGTGGGAGAGTTATTTTTTCTTAGAATATCGAGTTCCAAAAATACAATGAATATTACAAATTTGATTTTATTTTTTAAACAGTTTATCAACTCGAAAATGCGGCATTAATTGAAAAAGGGCGATTTTTAAATGCAACTGGTTTGAAGATTAATTTATTAATATCAAAACATTAAAAACAATTTTAAAAGGGCGAAGTTTTATAATTGATGTTTAAAAAACAAGCATATATTATGATGATTAACAACACATAATATGTATTTTAGATATAAGCAAAAGATTATTTATATTTAAGTTAAAATTTGCTTTTATATATTTAGTTTATAATTAAAGCATATATATATATAT